TCATCGCTTTTTGACGTGGACGAGTATTCTCATCATGCACTTCGATACTTCCTGGTCTCTTCTGCATTCTTTGCCTGCAACATAGTGCTCATGAACATCTTCATTAACGTAACTGGTGCGGGGTACGATGACGAGCGCAGAAACATTGTGGGGACATTCTTGGTTGAAAGGTTTCATGCTTGCATGGAAAGCGTGGAAGTCGCAGGATGGTCGAGGCGTCTAGTCCTCTCTCTTTTCAGTGTAGCTCTCTGCGTTCGTATGCTCATCAGCTTGGGTTTCGGAGATGTGCTGGCAGCTGTCTGGGAGGCTTGCATTCTGCTGTGCTGGTTGTTGCTGTACTTGCTTCAGTGGCGCTTGTGTCGTGAAGCGTGCCAACTGCGTGAAAGTGTGGAGGCAGTGCAACCTGCAGTTGCCTGGCATTTGTGGGTTTGCCTGCCGTCAGAATGGGAGAGTGAGACCGCCACAGAAGCAAGCTGTGATCAACAGAGTGGTCTCCGCGATCTGGGCAAAGCACTGGGTAGTTTGATGAAACAGATGGCAGAGCTGCTTCAAAACGCGGAAAAGCTGCTTCAACGACAGCAACGCCTGCGCACCACCAGCTCCAAGCGATCCGGCAAGAAGGGCGGGTTCGATGCACTATGCGACAGCAACCCGAAAGGCATTTCGTCGGATTTCTCGTGGCTCGAAGACCTGCTCGTTGCAGCAGAGCTCAGAAGGCACATCGACCCCGCAACAAGATGGGCCGAGGAGAGGGACATTGTCCAAAGTGATTTCCTCGGTGGGAATGAAGTCTCTGCGGCCTCCAGGGAGGAGGCATTCACACACATGGATGATTTGTCGAAGCACCTAAAGTTGAGTGCGGCCGCTACGCAGCGGTTGTACAAACAACTGCAGAACAGGTGGATTACACCGAAGCTTGCCGCTGCCCAGGACTAGTGCTCTCGGCCTGAGCAATTGCATCAGGCTAGAGTGTGACTTTCGTCACCCATGGTTCCGTTTGGACCAAAAGCGGAGCTGCATGGTTCGCAGGCAGAAATTAATATATGCATGGTTATATGGGGCTTAGCGGAAAGCTAAGTTGTTTAGTTCGCTGCGTACAACCAATGCCGCTACTTATTGCGCACGATATGTCGCTAGCGTGAACACTGACCAGCTCCACTGCATCAATAAGTTCTGTGATGTTGCGCTCAGCAATCTTGCGCCCAAGTCACGTGGCAGTTCAGATGAGCATGACCAGGTCAATGTAATCTACAGCGAGGACAACAACCGAGAACAGCTCAATATTCTTCAATTCTTCCGCAGCCCAAAACCCCGCCTTTTTGCAAAAGGGTAATCGATCCAGTTAGTCGCCTCACCTTGAATGCGAAGTGAATGAATGATGCAGTTATTATTGCAGATATTGCCAGTCTGCTTGCGGCTGATAGCGTGATTAGATAGACTGGAATCTTGCAGGTTCGAAGTGCAAGACTAATCGGTCCTGTGGCGACTTCGTTGGTATTGTCAATGTTATCTATCATCTATCCTGAATTCCGGTGGATTAGGGTGGATAGTCGGCTGCACCTGAAAATGTGCTTGCGGCTCGAAGCGGTTTCAAGCTGAGCTGTTTTGGCAGTTTTGGTCGCTAGGTGTTGGCGTCTTTGGTCCTTTGGGTTGGTAGGCGTCAGATGTTAAGCTAGCGGGCTTCCGGGGGCTGAAGCCTCGAGCAGGAAGGGAGTACATGGTTACCTTGTGCCTTGACAAAATACAACAACGCTTAGCAATTGCAGAATTCTGCGGCATGCACCTTCACGCAGGCAGGGTGGCTCAGCTGGCCTCACATTTTCCAGAATGGCCTCAGGCGTTTGCAGTGCAGCGTTTCCGTGCAGGTGACTAGACTCGTGATGCAAAGTGCAAAGGCGCTCATGCCCACAGTCCCAGGCTTATCTTCTTCGGAGTGCGTGCCGTTCTCTAAGCCATGAGAGTCTTGTCATCAGACGTCAACAGCACTCGAGCTAGCTCCACTCGAGCTGGTGCCTAACGGAGACGCGTTCTTGAGAATGCTCTGACCCGACAAGATTCAAGGTACTAGACACTCGAAATTATCGGCAAATTGTTAAGTGAGGCGCTGTCGAGGAGCGGTGGAACACCACCGCACAGCGCTTCAGATAAAGCCACTTCAGACTTCCCGCTTCAGGCCGGGAGCATGTCTCTGCTGTGATCCAGCGGAGTTTGTCATTGGCCACTGCAGGTGGAGATTCACGTGAAAGAGTTGTTTGACGGCAGCAAGCTCGGTGTGCGCTTGCCCCAGAACTCCCTCATCATCAGCAGCTTCGATGCCGAGTATCCCGAGGCAGCCAGTTCTAAGCGATTTATCGGTTTGCTCGACTGGCCCACCCCAATGTCGGTCTCGCATCTACAGGCGGAGCAAGTTGGGTGGCAGATCGGAGATGAAATCGTATCTGTGAATGGCCACAGCATTTGGACTCGAGAGGTCAGTGATGAGCAATGAAGCTGAACATTTCAGCGATTGCATGCTGTTTCCATGTCTCGAGGACTTCAAATCTGCTCTGGTAAGGGAACGTGGAAAGCTACCTATGATCGTGGTCGTGCCGCTTTGCTCGAGAATTGGAGCCCAGGGCACGGGCAGACTTTGGGGTTCCCTTGAATTCTTGAGAGGCTCTTGAGGCGGAAGAAGTGTTGCATTCTCTTCAGCTTCTTGCATGGCTTTTGCTCTGGCAGTATATTCATAAGGAAGCGCCACGGCAAGAAGGCTCTGCCGAGATTGGAAACATCTCACGATGTCGCGAGCTTTGGTTTGCTTTGCCGGACGTTGCGTGTACAGATGGGTGCGGTCATGACGACATGTCAACGGGACTTTTTGAAGGGTAAGCAAGATGTGGGCAGGTCGCGGCAAGGAATCCTTCGATGGAAATCGCAAGTGGAGCCGCCTCGGCGAAAGCCTCCTGCTCGGCGTTGAA